GAAGGGAAGGGAAGGGAAGGGAAGGGAAGGGAAGGGAAGGGAAGGGAAGGGAAGGGAAAGGAAGGGAAGAAGGAGGCCAGGCACGGATCACTTGAACCCAGGAATTCAAGACTAGTCTGAGCAGCATAGAGAGACCTCATCTCTATCTAGAGTTAAAAACAGTAATAAAAATATGGGCCGGGCATGGTGGCTCATGCCTATAATCCCAGCACATTGGGAGGCCAAGGTGAGAGGATTGCCTGAGCCCATGGGTTTGAAACCAGCCCGGGCAACTTTGTGAGACCTCATCTCTACAATAAATCAAAAACCTAGCCAGGCATGGTGGCGTGTGTCTGTAGTTTCTACTACTTGGAAGGCTGAGGCAGAAGGATCACCTGAGCCCAGAAGGTCAAGGCTGTGGTGGCTATGAGCATGCCACTGCCCTCCAGCCTGGGTGACAGAGTGAAACTCCAACTCAAAAAAATAAATAAATAAAACCAAAAATATATACAAATAAAATAAAGTATGACTAGTCAAAAAACAAAAGGAAACAAAAAACTTTGGGTGGGAATGCCAAGGGGTCTTCAGCCAACTTTCAGTAGCCATAAAAACTTACTATATTCGAGGAAGAAAAAGCTACAAATGGGATTGGAGCAGTGTCCTCTCACGAGGTTAACCAGGTCACCTCAAGGGGATAACAGGAGATGTGCCATGACAACATTTAGCATCTTTCACAAGCTTACATTTGAGAAAACTTCATTGCCTCCTTTACTCTCACAATAAACCAAGATGTTGCTTGCCAAAATCTGTGCTCCAAGAAGTACATTTTTTTTAGTTAGATTTTTACTCTGTCACCCAGGCTGGAGGGCAGTGGGATGCTCTTGGCCACCACAGCCTTGACCTGCTGGGCTCAGGCGATCCTTCCGCTTCAGCCTTCCAAGTAGATGGAACTACAGGCACATGCCACCATGCCCGGCTAATTTTCTGATTTATTGTAAAGATTAGGTCTCACCAAGTTGCCCAGGCTGATCTCAAATCCGTGGGTTCAGGCAATCCTCTCACCTTGGCCTCCCAAAGTGCTGGGATTATAGGTGTAAGCCACCACGCCTGGCCATAAAGAAGTATAATTTTAGCTGGGATTGGTGGCTCAGCCTGTAATCCCGCACTTTGGGAGGCCAAGGTGTGTGGATTGCCTGAGCCCGCGGGTTCGAGACCCGCTTGGGCAACTTGGTGAGACCTCATCTCTACAATAAAAATCAAAAATTAGCCGGGTGTGGTAGCGCGTGCCTGTAGTTCCAGCTACTTGGAAGGCTGAGGCGGAAGGATCGCCAGAGCCCAGCAGGTCGAGGCTGCAGTGGCCGGGAGCGGTCACTGCACTCCAGTCTGGGCGACAAAGTGAGACTCCAACTCAAAAAAAAAAAAAAAGAAGTACAATTTTAAACAACAACAACTCGCCCTCATTTAAGTTTTCCATACAAGTCTTTATCCACTTTGATAATAAACTCTTCTGTATCTTGGGGGCCCAGACGTTTGCCTCAGACCCAGAGGGGAGGAAACCCTCTCTCACTCATTCTGCTTTTTGGAGTCCCTTCTTGTCCCTAGAGAATCTCCAAGTCATGCCAATGCCTGCAAACCCTCACCTCCTGTGAGCATGGCAGGAGGGATTGGAGATCAGCTCCCAGTCTCTTTTGGAGTACTCATCCGGCCAGGCAAGAGCCCTACCATTCCAGTATGGGAGCTACAGTGTTCCAGATCATGCCTAGATAGAAATACTCCCTCCCAGTGAAAAGTATGTTGTGGTCATCATGTCTCCAAAAGGGAAAACTCTTCCCCCTGGTATCAAACCCTAATCCTCCATTTGTGGGCCAAAGAATCAATTTCCTAGATGATGAAAGACAGCCTGTTCTCATGGAAAGTGCCCTGGAATGAAAGTCAGAAAACCTGACTTTATCATTGATTTTTGGCCCTTCTAGATGTTAGTTTCCCCATCTGTAAAATCAGCAAGTTTAGATATTTAATTATTCCTATGCTGTTAGCCCACGATACTAATAAATACATGTAGTAATGGTTTTTTGGGGAGATGAGGGCTGAGGGGAGAAGACATTACTTCTAAAACCAAAGCAAAACTTTGGATGAATGGTCCAAGTTATGTTCAGGCCCCATGTGTTTCTCAGGCAGTGACAAGAGACTCAGTATGGTGAGCCTCCCTAATGGGACAGTGGAGCTGGTTTGAAATTGCCTCCTTGCTTTGGATGGAGCCAGGAGACCTATGAGAAAATGAATGTTATAACTTGTGGTTTCTTTTTTTTTCCTTTAGGGACTTGGAACTACTGGAGAAAAGGGAGAAAAGGGAATTCCTGGTTTGCCAGGACCTAGGGTATGAACCTGGAATGTTGCTTGCATGGGTCTGTCAAGTCACCTGGTCCATTTTCTTTCCTGTTTGCTTCTTTATGTTATTTAACTTGGTGGCCACCTAAGCTTCTTTTGTTTCTCTTCCTCAACTCAAGTCACCTGGTCCATTTTCTTTCCTGTTTGCTTCTTTATGTTATTTAACTTGGTGGCCACCTAAGCTTCTTTTGTTTCTCTTCCTCAACTCAAGTCACCTGGTCCATTTTCTTTCCTGTTTGCTTCCTTATGTTATTTAACTTGGTGGCCACCTAAGCTTCTTTTGTTTCTCTTCCTCAACTCTCTAGCAGGTTCCTAAACCTCCCCCTCTCCACTTAGCCCCATTCCCTTGACTGAGCAGCTCCCTTGAATAAGGAATTATGTACCCAAACTCTAGGTGACTCTTCAGTCTATTTACTCTCTTTGCCCTCATATAAAATGATCTTCTGCGCTAAAGAATGATGTGAATGTAGTCTTGCTTTCATTCCATTCTATTCCTAGGAAAGTTAGGTGGGGAGGGGGGGGTTACAAAGAAATTTAAAAAAAAGAGATCCAAGTGCAATCTATATAGGACAGAAATAAGCCTGGGAAGTTCTATAATATAGTGATGTTTGGAGTCAACTGTTTCCAATAGTAATCTCACTTCAAGCAGAGAAATACGATTAGCCTCTGATTCCTAGCTTCAGGCAGTTAGGTCTTGAGCTATAAACAGTTGGCCAACCTTAGCCTTAAGAAATAACATTTTAGAGAAATGTGTTTTTAGCTTGGCCAGGAAGTTTGTTAAGAGTACTTTGAGTATTTAGCTATATTCATCCATTACCCTGCCATTTCTTTCTCTACTTTTCCCTGTCTCTTTTGTTGAAAACACAAAATCACTAACAAAGAATGCATTTGAAGTGGAAGACAAAAGCCCCTCTCATAATCTATGTAAAAACCCCCTGACTTGGAACTAATGCAGATAAGCATAATACCACCCATCCTTTCTACCAAATTCCACCTACTACTTAAAATGTTTCCATTTATTTAGCTCTTTTTAAATGCTCCATGTGGCTATTCAGCCTGATGGATTAGTGCTTCCTAAGAAGTCATTAAGCCAGGTCTGAAAACATTCTCTTACCTGATTTTAGGAGCTGCTAAATACTGAGCTCAGTTGGATAGTTTTGTTATGTCAGTCTAGTAGCTTTTTCTAGGTGGGCTATTGAATCTTTCTAATAGGTGTGGCTATCCTCTTTACAGGGTCCCATAGGTTCAGAAGGAGTCCAAGGCCCTCCAGGAAGACAGGTATTTTGGCTAATATCATTAAAGCTTTAGTGTATAAAATTACAATCAAAGAACCCTCCCCCCACTTGCTTTACTTCACAAGGTCAAAGGGAAATACGACTTATAATGCAAACTGTTCACTTCCTTTTCACTGGTATATTCTTAGGCACGCTCTTATTTTCATCCAAGTAGATGAGTATCTAGTGTCAAGTTCAGTGCCTTGCTATGCCATGTTATGGCCCTACACCTTTGGCATATTGTCAGGGACTAGCAAGGCAAGCTTGTTTTACCCATCTCCAGCCTTGTGGCCCTTGTGCCTCCTGATATGTAAATCAGCTACCTACTGCTGTATTGTCTTCCAGACAACTTCGCAGTTTCCAGAGTCAGATAGATATCATACATATCCCTGAATGCCTGCCAAGAGCCCTGTGTCATTTGCCCTGGTTCAATACAAAGACTGGCCCCTCTTTCGCTCTTTTACTTTCAACTTACTGATAACTCTGTTTCTGTCACAGGGCAATAAGGGGTCTCCAGGTTTCCCAGGCCTTAATGGTTTCCCAGGAATTAAGGTAATGTTGTTGGGAAGTGAAAAGCTAGGGTTGAGGAGGTGGAAGGATGAATTATCATAAATGCCTACATATGAGATAAAGTCTTTTTAATATTTTGACATTTTATATGTCACTTTTTTCCTTGAGAAATACATGCAACCTACTCTGAACACACAAAGCTGCTGACGAGCATTTCTTAGCTACTGCTTGATCGGTGATCAACTAAGGTGCATAGGCTGGTGGGAGCAAGTGTATCCCTAAGAGAAGAAATGTTTCATTACTGACACTGGTTAGGTTTTACTACTGTTTTAAAATTTTCTACAGACAATGCATTCCCTTTTGCCTATGCCTGGAGGAGACAGCTCCCACTATCCTACCCTGGATCTGCCACTGTGTCTGATTCTAGTATCTGAGTCCCTCTTTGGGGAGAATTAGAACTCATTTGACTTCCTTTGCCTGATATCAGCCACTAACAAGGGTAGTGACAGCAACAGAGTTCCAGGCATGCTGGGAGTGGAAACAAAGTTGAAACTTTGCTCCCTCCTTAGTGCTTCTTGGGTAGAACCATGTTGTTTATGCCTGTGATATATCTCCCAGGCCCAGAAGCAGATTGTCTTTGATTAGGGTGGCAAAATACAATCAGGATCCTTTTTCCTTGGCAGATTTGCAATTGAGTGGCAGGTCTCTAGCCTACCTTGTGTCACCTTCATTTTAAAGTTATGGGACTTTTTAATTAACTTATGGACTTGTTAACATTGAAAATCGAGGGTTAGGCCAGGCGCGGCGCGGTGGCTCAAGTCTATAATCCCAGCACTTTGGAGGCTGAGGTGAGAGGATTGCCTGAACCCAGGGATTCGAGACCATCCTGGGCAACTTCGTGAGACCTCCTTTCTACAATAAATCAAAAAATTAGCCGGGCGTGGTGGCACATGCCTGTAGTTCCAGCTACTTGAAAGGCTGAGGTGGAAGGATTGC